TGGAACCAGATAGGATTTAATACTAACCATTTAGATAATGAGAACTGACCTACAGAAAAAGTTAGGGGCTCTAAATGGTCCGAAACACGTTCACCACAAAAACTGTCTTTGCATAGCATAGTTGGTAAAGCTTATAAAGAAACGTGGAATAGATGGTGACCGATGCTGAAGGTTTTCTTCCTTTGGCTGTTCTTTTTAGACTAAGCCAGACTCAACAATAAAAAGACATTGTTTTGAACTGAACTGTATCTCCTGAAATTCACGTGGTAAAGCCCTGACTCCCAATGTGACTGTATTTAGAGGTGAGCCTTTAAGGAGGTAATTAAGGTTGAATGAGGTCGTAAGAGTGGGCCTTAATCCAGTGTGACCAGTGTCCTCTTAAGAGACACCAGGGATGTGTGTGTATGTGTGTGTGTGTTAGTTGCTTAGTCGTGTCCGACTCTGTGCAACCCCATAGACTGTAGCCCACCAGGCGCCTCTGTCCAGAGAAGCCCACGTGGTAAGACAGGAAAAAGGCAGCCATCGCAAGCCAAGGGGAGAGGCCTTGGGAGAAACCACATCTGCCAGTGCCTTGATCTTGGACCTTCAACCTCCAGAACTGTGAGAAAATAAACTTCTGTTATTGAAGTCAGCCAGTTCATGGTATTTTGTTACGGCAGCCCTAGCAAACTAATACAGACATATAAACCAATTTAAAAATGCATAGATGATTTGAATGGCCATTTCTCCCAAGAAAATCTACAAATGGCCAGTATGCGTATAAAAAGATTCTCAACATTATTTGTCACTAGGCAAATGAAAATCAAAACCTCAGTGAGACGCCGCCTCATACCCATTGTGTGCTCAGTCATTGTCATGTTTGACTTTTGCAATCCCGTAGACTGTAGCTCATCAGGCTCCTCTGTCCCTGGGATTTTCCAGGCAAGAATACTGGAGTGGGTTGCCATTTCCTCCAGGGGATTCTCCCTGATGCAGGGATAGAGCCCCGTCTCCTACATCAGCAAGCAGGTTGTTTACCACTGCGCCACCTAGGACAGTGGACATTCAGATGGGTGGATTTGCTTGCATCAAATGCATCTGACAGAGTACATGGATCACAGACTGAGCGTGAACAAGGGGTGACTCACAAGGGGTGACTCACAAGGGCCCAACTGAGCCATACTTCATTAATCCAAGAGAGTGAGGAAGTGAATGGATCAGGATCATGGGGAAAGGAAACCCTTCTGGGGTACTGACCTGATCAGGATGGACCCTCTGTACTCGTCATGCCCATTAGGATGACTATAATTTAGAAGACAACAAGTATTGAGGACGTGGAGAACTTGACATTGCTAGTGGGAATATAAAATGTTTCAGTCACTTGGAGAATGTGGCAGTTCCTCAAAAAATTAAATGTGTAGTTAATTTATGACTCAGCACTTTCACTCCCAGATATATAGAGAAATATCTCTCCCAGATACAAAGGAGTATACCCCCCTAAAGTTATATACAACTGTGGCTATCAGGATTATTAATAACAGCCAAATTTGGGGATCAACTCAAATGCCCATCAACTGATGCATGGATAAACAAAATGTAGTATGTTCACACAAATGAAATATTCAGCTATAAATCAGAAAGTACTGATTCATGCTATGTGAGTGAAACTTGAAAATGTTATGCAGACAGTAAAGGCCACACATTGTATGATTTCATTTATGTCCAGAATAGGCAAATCCATAGAGATGTAGTGGTTGCCCTGGTCTAGGGGGAAAGATGAATTGGGAGTGACTGCAAATGGGTATGTGGTTTCTTTTGGAATTAGGAATGATGGTTGCACTCTGTGAAAATGCTACAGTACTTTACAAGGAAAATTTTATTATATGTGAGATTTATTTCAATTAAAAAAAGAATCAGCTAGAATCAGCATTCTGGGTGGTGAACCTGAAGTAAAGGATGAGTGAGCATATACCTTGACTAGTATTGCTAACTTCTGAATAAGACTTTTGTTTTTCCTCCCATGAACATGGATGATGAATATATTCATTTATATATAAATCTAAACATTGTCTTTGCTGACAAATGTCTGTCTAGTCAAAGCTACGGTTTTTTCAGTAGTCATGTATGAGAGTTTGACCATAAAGAATCTGAGTGCTGAATAATTGATGCTTTTGAACTGTGGTGTTGGAGAAGACTCTTGAGAGTCCCTTGGACTGCAAGGAAATCAAACCAGTCCATCCTAAAGGAAATGAGTCCTGAATATTCATTGGAAGGACTGATGCTGAAGCTGAAACTCCGATACTTTGGCCACCTGATGTGAAGAACTGACTCATTGGAAAAGACCCTGATTTTGGGAAAGACTGAAGGCAGGAGGAGAAGGGGATGACAGAGGATGAGACAGTTGGATGACATTACCGACTCAATGGACCTGAGTTTGAGTAAGCTCTGGGAGTTGGTGATGGAGAGGGAAGATGCGTGCTACAGTCCATGGAGTCGGACACGACTGAGCGACTGAACTGAACTGATACGTTGTCCCATTGTCCATATACAGGGAAGAAAAATAAAAGCCTCTTTAACAAGTAAAACACTCTCTGAAAACATTGTGTTTAGTCTTTGGTTGTTGTTTAGTTATATAGTCTTGTCTAACTCTTAGCAGACCCATGGACTGCTGCACACCAGGCCTCCCTGTCCCTGACCACCTTCCAAAGTCTTTGGTTAGCATGGTAAAATAGAACACTTTAGAAGTTTCAGGGTTTTTTTTTTCCTTTTCCATTATGGTTGATTACAGGATATATTTTTTAATGTATTTTTTAATTGAAGGATAATTGCTTTACAGAATTTTGTTTTCTGTCAAACCTCAACATGAATCAGCCATAGGTATACATATATCCCCTCACTTTTGAACCTCCCTCCCATCTCCTTCCCCATCCCACCCCACTAGGTTGATACAGAACACCTGTTTTGAGTTTCCTGAGACATGCATCAAATTTCCATTGACTATTTTACATATGGTAATGTAAGTTTCCATGTTACTCTCTCCACACATCTCACCCTCTCGTTCCCTCTCCCCATGTCTAACAGATCTCCTTTTCTGAGCTAGCTGAAAATCACTAAGCTATCAGGTCTATGAAAATGACAGTCTTGATTTTCTGGTATCATTCAAAAATATCTTTTAAAAATTGCAAAAAAAAAATTTATAACCTCACTCCTGGAGATTATTGCTGCTCAAAGTATGTTCTCATACTGGCAGCATCATTATACCTGGGATATACCGCAGAACTACTGAGTCAGAAACTTAGTGTTTTCACAAGCTTTCCAGATGACTGATGCATGATAAAGTTTGAAAAGCAGAGATCTAGAGAATTTACAAGTAGGAAAGGCCACAAGTCTATGCTAATGTTTTAATAATAAATATTTAGATTATTTACATGTATCAAGTTAAGCATAATACTGTCTCCATCCATACAAACTGGTAATTTTGAGCACACTTTGCACTCAGATCTTGGTTTCTAAATGCTATTCTTTATTAAGTGGCTCCAAGGCTTTGTGCTATTCTTGCAACTTTACATTGAACATTATTTGTAAAATAAAGAAGTTAAAATATTTCAATTTAAAAAGATGGAAGATGACCTGAAACAAACACACAAAAATCACACAAGTTTCCAAAACTGATGACATGGAACTCCAATTGAGTGTATTTATTTATTATAATCTCCAAAATAATTTCAGTTGGTACAACTGCTTCTTAAAACCACATTACTATCAGGCTCAATTTAATTACAACCAAGCAATTCACAAAGACACTATAAGCAACAAAACATGCTCAATATTTCTTTGAGAAAGGTGCTTCAGATGTGTGTACAGCATGACTGGGCATTACACAAAATTTTTAGAAGATGATTCTTACATGCCCAAGTTTTGTACCCCTTCTGTTGCGACATCTGTGAAAGGCTAATTTAATCAATCCTTCCACACCTCCCTTAAAACCCTTCATGGTGCAATCTGCCTTTCTCTTAAATATCAAAGAATATTCTAAGTCATTCCTTAGGAAAGTAAAACTATACACATTTCCAAGGGGGAAAACAAGCTGCTTACTTTTTATATTACATACTTCAATTATGGGTTACTAACACTTTTTAAAAGCTTTGTTACATTTTAAAAAGTACCAGCCAATGAAGACAAAAGTACAAAATATTTATCAGCATGTTAGGTTCTCCTGAAATCACAGTTTTCTGGATAGATACATGCAGCATCACTAAACATTTTTCACTATGTATTACACATAGCTTGGAAAGAACTTTTAATATTTTGGCCTATAATGTCCATGTCTTAAATAGCATTTTGCTTTATTCCTTTAATAGTGCTAAACTGTTTTAAAAATTTGTATTTATTTTATAGATCTGACTCACTGAATTTTCAACACCATGGCCTGACCTTGGTTATGAAAAATATCTTAACATCTGCAACTTCAGCTGGTTATACTAGGGGGAGAGGGATTACCACAACTTTATTATACCTCGTGTTAACAATAAACCTTCTCACAGAGAAGAAAATACTTTAAATACTTTAAGTCATATTTACAACAATAAAATTCACATTTCATGCTTTAGTGAGACCCTTAAATCATCCACAAGACAGTCCTTTATGGTTTATTGGAATAGAGCCCTTCTGTACATGGACTTCTGCCGTGTGCCACATATAAAGCTCTTTGATTTTATGAAAATAGCAAAACTTATGCTGTCCGCCTGTCAAGTAGAAAAACTGAGGGTCCATCTTCCCAGCCATCAAGTTGTCACCGAAACGCTATTATCACAGCGAGGTGGCAGCCAAGGCTTCGGACCTCAGGACCCAGAAGGAGCAACCCGTCTGTCTGCAAAGTGCCCAGAAGCCCGGGTGTTCTCTAACGTGCGTGACAGGATGAAAAGAGCCCTCTCAGCACTGGCCAAACAGTTCACTGAGGTGTCTATTGCACGGGATCTTCGAAGCTTCCAGAGATAGTGCTGTATGTCTTCCCTTCACTACTATATACATTTTTCGGATAAGTTCAGCGTTTCATTGGGAAACGTGACTTGCAGGGAGCTCCCCTTGGGGGCGGGCCCAGCCCTGCAGCTCCCGCCAACCTCGTCCACCAGTAAGAAGCTCTCCGAGTCCTGCCCCTGGGAGGAGTCTGAGGTCTCCGATACCCGCAGAGTCCTGAGCGACGTGCTGTCTAGCTGGGTCAGGCCCACGCCGGGCACGCCTGGCAGCAGGTTCCTGCCGCCCCCGAGGCCGTTTTCGCTGAGTTCCGGCGTGTACAGGAGGGTCTGCGACGTGCTGCTGATCTCCTTCAGCTCCCGGGAGAGGAAGGAGCGGGAGTGGCCCGACACGGCGGAGGACGTCCTTCTGCTGTCTGAGCAGTGCGGCCCCGAGCGCTCCCTGCGCGACCCGCCGATGCGGCAGAAGAGGCATTTGATCTTCTCTATGGCTTTACTGAGCACTGTCTTCCGCAGGAGGATGTATATCCAGGGGTCCAGGATGGGGTTCACAGAAGCAATTCGGATGGCCTGCAAATCCGGGTTTTTGCTGATGACTGGCTCCAATTGTGGCCGATATAACTGGTTGACGAACACCCGCACCTGCGTGAAGGAGATGCCCACGTTTAGTATTTAGCATTCATTCATCAACTGGGAAAACATTTGCGTGCAACGTCTAATGTAGTAACCTTGTTGTGCGTGCTTAGTCGCTCAGTCTGTCCGACTCTTTGCGGCCCCATGGACCGTAGCCCGCCACGCTCCTCTGTCCATGGGATTCTCCAGACAAGAATACTGGAGTGAGTTGCCACGACCTCCTCCAGGGGATGTTCCCGCCCCAGGAATCGAACCCAGGTCTCCCGCATTGCGGGTGGATTCTTTACCGACTGAGCCATTAATAACATTAGCTGCCCTGTTTTCTATTAAGTGCCAAGAGGGGACTTCCCTGGTGGTTCAGTGGTTAAGACTGGTACTTACGATGGAGGGGGCCTGGGTTCAAACCCTGGATAGAGGAACTAAGATCCCGCATGCCCTGGTGCATGGTCAAAAAAATTTTTTATGTTAAAAAAATAAAAAGTTCCAAGAAAAGAGCTGCGTATATAGAACCAGGAAGACCACCAATTACCATTTATCAAGTTAGTATAACTTTAATATATCAGTAACTAGCTTATGAATATCTTCTCTAGGTCAAAGATGGATAAAAGAATGCAATGTGTGTACAGGTAACATAGGCATAAAGGTTCCTGGAGAAGAATTTTATTAACTTCATTTCTGTGCTTTCTCAAAGAATAGTGAGAAACTTTTCAACTTGGAAATTTTAAACCAATATTTGAATCTATTATCATCTAGAATGGCCAGAGAATAGTTTTTATTTTCTCTATATGAAGCTGTTCCCTAGTTACAATAATAATAATCTAGTGTTATCAACTCTTACTTCAAAAACCTTTTCCATAAACCAATTATGTGTCAATAAATAAATAATAATAAAAGAAGAAAAAAAATCTTTCCCATTTTTTTCCCCTCTAACTGCATTCCTCACCTAGATTAATGCATCAACCATCAAACTAGCTTTCTCATCTCCACTTCCTGTTCTCTCCAAACCATCCTCCAACCTGCCACCAGAAGATTATTTCTCAAATGCAGATTTGATTATGTTACTTGGCTGCTAAACCTTCAATGGCTCCCTGCTGCTTGGGAACTATAGTTCTGTTCAACAACTGCCACTCTGAAGCCATCCTGAAGCCTCCACTGGAATCCACCCCTCCTTTGTATCTCTGGAGCATTTTAGAATAAACAGCCAGGAGCACTCTGGACAGACCAGACTCAGTGAAGAGAATATAAATTTGTAAACTTGAGGAAAATTATCATTTTATTCCTTAGTGGAAAAGGCACTTCTTACTTTCTCTCTTTTTTAAAATTAAATACAATATTATGTAAATGACAGGTGTACAGTATAGTGATTCACAATTATTAAAGGTAATACTCCATTTATAGTCATTATATAATACTGACTATATTCTCTATGTTGTACAATATATCCTTGTATCTTATTTAATACCTAGTAGTTTTACCTCTTAATTCCCTACTTCTATATTGTACCCCCCTCTCTCTCCCCACTGGTAACCACTAGTTTGCTGTCTATATCTGTGAGTCTACTTCGAAAAAGCACTTGTAAAACATACACTTCCATATTTACTCCTAAACAGTAGATCTTAAAAGCTCTCATCATGAGAAAAACATCTTGTAACTAAGCATGGGGATGGATGTTAATTAGACTTATCGTAGTGATTATTTTGCAATATATATAAACATCAAATCATTATGCTATGCACTTGGAATAAATATAATGTTATATGTCAATATCTAAATAAATATATATATGTATATAAATACACACACACACAAGACACACACCAAAAAACCCAAAATTTTACTGTTAAAGGATGATGATGCTATCTGAGTCTTACTTCTAATTCCACCAGGATCATTATATAAAAATCTCACAATAATTCATATAAAAATAGTGGTTTTTAAGATAATATAATTATTTAATAATTATTACATGCCATTAGTAATTATTTTAGGTCAGGGATAAGTAAGAGGTGAGTCTCACAGCCAAGAAAGATGCATTAAAAACCATAAAAAGAAGAAAGAACTATAAAAGCATAGCTGGAGCCATTTAACTAAGGGCAAATATGTCTAACATTAAGAAGAGTTGATGACACTGCCACTTTGTCATACAGTATAATAATATTTATGGTGTATGAATCACTAAGAAAGAATAGGGATATTTTAGAAAGATTTATAATAAACTGGATAAAAAGAAGTCTAAAACATGTAAATAAATCTCATTAATCTGCAAAAGTCAACTTATATGACACATTTCTAAATGATGCTAGATCAGTGGAATGTAACTGTATTTCTACTTCTTCCTATACCAGAATTTAGACCTAAATCAACTACAGGTCTATAATCCTTTATCAAGAAGTTGCTGTTGTTTTGATATTCATTTGTTGTTTTTGGTTGCAAAAACCTGAACTGACTAGACCATGATGCTATTTATAATTTTATTTAGTCCACTTGATGTGAATATTCCCATGTTTTGCTCCAGAGGTACCACTCCAGTTTCTGATGGGGATATTACATATTACATAGTAGATTACTAAATTACTTTCCTAAAAGCCAAGATGTTCTGAATTTAAAACACACTTGGTCCTAAATATTTTGGATAAGCAATTACATACAGCCCTGTAACTCTCATATGATAAAATAGTGAAATGGCTCTAAGATGAAATTATTCCCTTGATCTCTGGAAGACAGCTAAATAAAAAGTGTACTAGAATGAATAACAGTATATGATGACTACCTTTTTTTTTTTTTTTGGCCAAACCACACAGCATGTGAAATCTTAAGTTCTCTGACTTGGGACAGAACTCACACCCCCCTGCAGTGAAGTTCCTATGATGACAACTCTTAAAATATTTTTAGAAACTATGCTTGTATAAATGATTCTACCAAGACAAAGGATGACTGACCTTCTGTCCTTTCAAAAACCAGTGGAACAAAGCATCTTGGTCTCTTCCTCCCATACTCTTCATTGAGGTTCTCAGCTGTGCATGGGCACAGAGATTCCCTCAGGTCTACAGACCTTTTCTCAGATGAAGTGCTACTGAAACCAGGAAGTTTTGAGAACCTTATTTAGATCCCCCACCCTGTTGGTAGCTGATTCTGGCCTGGGCCTCAGGTCTCCAAATGACTTTCATTTTGCTTTTTGTGTTTTATCAGACTAGCTAGCTTTCTGCTTAAGAATTATCTCCTGACAATGGAATTATTGGTAAAATACAAAGCATGAAGTCTGTATTTTACTCACATCACACAGTAGGTTCTTACGGGAAAAAGAAATGATGGATTTAAATCTGGATTTAGGATGGCATCATGAACTCAATGGGCATAAGTTTGAGCAAGCTCTGGGAGTGGTGATGGACAGGGAAGCCTGGCATGATGCAGTCCATGGAGTCACAAAGAGTCAAATGGGACTGTGGAAATGAATAACAAAATTTTCTCTGTAGATAAGATTATTTGAAATTGCACAGAGACAATTTAACTTACTTTCTTTTTAATTTCTGTTGGACTGTATTATTTTCAAGAGGATCAAATAACATCATATCTATTTTAAAAAAATAAATAAAAAGGGACCATTTCCAGGCCAAAAATGAATAAATGAATAAATAAAGAAATCTGGATTTAGTATTAGGCCCTGCTCTGAGTGTAGCCTCTAGAAAAAAACCCCCGGCAGGATTTGGGTGAATTTGAGACTTTTAGCCAGTAGGTGGCAGTGTTGCTCTACTTGGGAGTTGGTCCCACAGCCCTCCCTAAGAGGTTTGCCCAGCCACTTCAAGACCCTCTTTCAGAACAGAATTTTAAATCCAAAGTTTGCATTTCTTAAAATTTTAACATTGAAATGCTTCATTGGTAGTTGTTTCTCCCACCGCTTCCTCGAGGGAAACACATTTACTACTGAAAGGGGGAAATTTTTTTAACACCTGAAATGGCTATAGAAGGAATGAAATTTGTAGCTATTTAAGGGAATAAACTAGCAGTTACCATTTATTTTTTTAAATTCCTATGACCCTTCAGAAAAGTCAGTGTTGTAAAAAAAATTAATAGTGAACTTTCATAATCAAGGTGACAAGAGGCAAGCAAAGAATGATTTTGTGGCTCACTTCATGCTCAGTAGTAATTAATTGAAACTACTGTATAAAGGCATGAAAAGGAGACTTATTTCAGTGTTCCAGGGGGTGCGTGTGGGGGGCGGTGGGCAGAGGGCTTACAATTAATATAAGCTAGCTAACCTGGTCATTTCATGTCTTCTCAGGAAAGCAGAGCTCATGGGGTAGCAACAAAGATGAGTATGAAAAGCAACAGTCCAAATTTAGATGAAAACATTCTCAAAAGCTGGTAAAATGATTTTAAAAAAATGAAGATGGAGCTTTCCTTTGCAGCATGATCTCAACGGAGACTGACTTGAATAAAGAAAAAGAAGACAAAAGTGAACAAAAGCTCCATGCACTTCACTAGATTTCAAAAAAAATCATAGCCATCTCTGCCTCACTTTAAAGGCTTTACTTGATTTGCTTCCCCAAAGGGGTAGACCCCAGATTAAGATGGGACCATCCACAGCAGGACTCCAGCCTCATGAAGGGAGGAGAGAGCACTTTTCTGCAATTCTTGTCCAACAGGCTCTGTATGTTACACAAATAAACGTGTTCAGGCAGTTTTCAGTGTTGGAAGAGTGTGCTGCTGAGAAAACCGAGCCTCTGAGTGGGAGGCGGGTGGGGGAACACCTTAAAAGAATTCGCTGAAAACAAATAAGGTATATAGTCTCTTGCAATTTCATTAGTCTATTTCTTCAGTAGATGCAGATTTGCACATGTGGCTTGTTGTTAGAACTGGCATACACGACAATATTCTGAATTTGTTGAGGACGGCTAAAGATTAGGATTCAGGAACATAACTTGGAAAAAATATGATAAACCCCAAATTAAGTGTGATGACGGGAAAGCTATAAGGAAGGCTACAGGTTGTAAAGATAAATGCCCAGTTCTGTTCAAATCCTGGCTCTCTGCTCTGTATAATTTATGAGCAAAATCATGAAAGGGCTTAGTACAAATATGTGGAAGCTTGGCTACTGTGGACTATATCAATAATATGAAAACCACAGCTTAGAGGTCACTTTGGGGTATAGTTAATGACGTGCATGGTATCTAAAACACACACTTCCTGTTTAATGAATTAACCTGTCGGCAGGGAATGTCTAATTGAAGAGGAATGTTGAAATTTTGATTAAACTGATTTGGTAGTTGACTGTCGAAATAGAAATGCTTTCCAATAAATGACGGGAACCTGTGATTGGATTTGTATGTGCTCCTTGTTCTGAGCACATGAAAGGAATGATCTGTGTGTGGTCAGTTATCTAACTGCCCTGTGAAGGGTCTAAAAGTGACACAGCGTTACTAGAAATTCTTCCCACCTCTTTTTTTTTTTTTTTTTTAGTGACAAAAATCTCTAAGTACAGGAGAGTGGAGAGAGTTCTTGGGTGGGTGGCGGAATGAGAGCTCGGTTCTCCTTCCCTCTGCATCACTGACCGACTATTTAACTGCAGATCAACTGCTTCCCCTCTACAGGTCAATGTGTACACTGAAAATTTACTTCTCAAGTGTTTAGTTTCTTTGAACCCTTAACTTTCAACATTTTAACAAGAACCTTCAAGAATCACTTCAGCTCTGGGGGAAAGATATCTTGTTAGCAGATGTTCCACAAAATCAAGCCTTGACAGGTCAGCAAAGCATGGTGAAAAGAGTCTTAGACTAGGACTCACTCACAGCCACCCAGGAAATAGCATGAAATAAAGTCATTATCTGCAGTTGAGGAATCTGAGGTGCAGAGACAGTGAAAATATTGGTCAGCCCTCTCTTCTTCCTAGCCCTTTTTTAAAGACTCAGAAGAGAAGCAGGGAAAACAACCTTACTTTTATGTGCTGCCTCCACAGTCTTCAAGGTACTACTCCTGGGTCTGCAATTTTATGTTTTGGCTAAAATTCTGCTTTTGGGAATTGCTACTTTTTTAAAATTTAGGCAAAGTTATTTGAAAAACAATCAAATCCCTCAGGTTCTGCTGTAATAGTGCCTGGATTTATGCCATTCTTCATGGACCTCTAGATGTGGTTTTCAGCTCATCTGCAACCCCATCAGTTTCTTTTAGTGTCCACTTCCAGTCTGCCTGCAGTAAACAAAAGTGTATCTATTTACACAGTTCTCCTCCGCTCTAATAAACTCTAATAAACCTTTGGCGATCAAATGCTGATGAAGGCTTATACAGACAACTAGTTTATAGTAAGGAACCAAATAAACACTTAAAGGAAGCTATTTTCCTAAGTTTCACTCCTCCCAGGCAGAAGATGAATCAAACTGGCCCTTCTACTCTTAATAGAGGTGAAGGCTTGCTACTTCAGAGTAAGAAGAAAGAAAATAAAAGAAACAAGTAAGCAATAAATACTGCCATAGCATGCCTGTGCATGGGGAAAATGCCTTTCAAAGCCTGTAGTGTAACCGTTTAGCCCTAAGGCCAAAGACTGGATTACAATAATGTAACATTCGTAACAAAATTAGGTACCAGACATTGATCCAGCTGCAGCATTTAACACCAGGACCTTAGGCTGTCTCACTTGAATATTTCTAAAGAATTCATTCCCTTTTATTTATTTTGAGCATAAACTCTTTCTTTAGCTTCTCTTGTATTTCAAAAACCAGAGACTGCTTATAAACAGAACAGACAAAATGACATTAACCTTGTTCCACTAAACCTTGTCATGCAATGTTCCCTGTTGATTGTATTTACATCTTTTCTCTTCATTGCTTATGACTCACTTTAGAAAATTTTGCAACTTCAGCAGAGGTCCTTATATAACTGCAATTAATTTTTCCAACCTTTCTCAAATTTCCATTCCAAGTTCTATTTATGAGATATATATATTTTGGAGAACAAATTAAAATTGACTTTTATACTAAATTCAATATCAACTGCCTTCTAAGAGCCACTGTTGTTTTTCTTTCTCTGATATCTGAAAGACAAAAATGTGGCCGCTTTGCAGTGATGCTTGTTTTCCTTATGTATTGTAAGTCAAGATTTGTGAAATTGCACATAAACTGTATTTGCTCTATTATTTCCAAAGCATTTTAAATGTTTGGAAGGGTTTAATTTGCCTCAAATAGGATTACCAACTAACTTGATTTGATAAAGTTAAAAGAGGTTCTTCATTAGTTTCCTTGAAACTGAAGATAGATCCGACTGTTTTAAAAGTCAAGAGTTCAGAAATTTTCAACTCAAATTCCAACATGAAAGTGAGAAATGTGGGAAAAAAAAACAAACCAAGAAAGTTGTAAAAGTGATCCAAGGAAGGCTACAGTTGTAGATGCTTCACTTTTAATTCTTTCAGTCATTGCTAAACTGTGGGTGGGTGTGTAATATAATGACATCATTCTTATCATTAATTTACAATTAAATCTATTCTGAAGCTACCATTACTTGTATGATTTCTTATTACTTACAAAGGTATGTCTATGTGTTAACTTCTCAGCTGAGCCATTTTCAATTTGTAGGGTAAAAAGACTTAATATCACTACACAACACTGACCTCACAGAGAGTAGACAATCCTTGTTCTTTAAATGTGGTCGGTCTGCAAACCACAAATATAAGTCCTATAATTTCTTGCCTCTTGTTTCTCAAATAATGTCAAAGGGTAAATGGCTTTGCCATCAGATCTACCATTTCAGCCCATAAGAGGCTTTGAAGAGAACAGTTCATCTGTGACTGTGTGGTCATCAGCAGCTTCGCATGCTTGCCTCCAACCAAAACACAGCTTAAAAGTTATGTGCGTGTTGCTAAACCTCTAGCTGTGATTCCTCAGTTCCTTAAAGTGGATGTTCTGTAAATAACAACCACTCACTCTGGCATTTACTGTTCTGTAAAACAGAAGGCAGAGGCCACAGAAGGAGGCCCCAGCCAGAGAGTTGTTTCTTCTAAAATCTCCCTCTATTCTAAAGGTGCCATTACAGACAGTAAAATATGTTTATGTGGCTCAATTAACTCCGTAAATTATCCTGGTCCTGGGATGGCTTAAAGGCCCTTCTGGCCAATTATATTTACTTCTGTTCATACAAATTGGCAAGAAGCTACTGTACACTGGCTCTCTGCCACCCTGGAGTTCCATTTACAGATGGAAGGAATTTTATCCATCCGTAATTTTATATAATATTTTATATTAAAATATTTTATTAGATACCATATCAATTTTATGAGATATAATATTTTTATCTTAAAGTCTCTGAACAGTATTAGTAACGGAAAAGATGGAATAATAGCCTATAACATGTATTTTCTCATGGTCCCAATCAGCATTAAAAAAACAAAACAAAACAAACTTTTTCAAGTTGATAGTTTAGAACTTCCAGGAATGTGGTGTTTTGAGATATAGAAAAACTCAGGACTAGTTGCTTTCATGAGAAATTCTAGATGAAGTATTATGTGCATCTGCCCATGCGTTTCTAGTGCAAAGAGAGTAGAACTAGGCAGACTTTCAAACTTCCTGCTTGTAACATTTTAAAACATTTGAAAAGTTAACGCACAGGCAATTTTAAAGAAGATGGTGTCCTTAAAATAAAGTGTACCAAAACCCAAATTCACACACTGTTTCAAAGGCCAAAATTAGAAGTGTTCTAGGAGGGAGACATGACGTCATATTACAGAAGCAGCGCTGGGGTTAGATTGGTCTGAGGTTCATCTCAAGTTGCAAAGCTTTGGTTTGGCAATAAATAAGGTGACCATCTCTAAAGCCCCATCTCTCTAGAAAGGCACTCTACCTCTCACAGTTGAGAATGTGAATTCAATACCCCAGGTGCATCAGTCTGCCCTCAACAGGTCCCCGGAAACACCTTGCTTTCCGGGCCCCTAGAAAGAACGAAGCTCTGGGCCTTGCCCGTGGAGGGCCACATGTGCACCGAGGTGTTTTCCCGGGGGACTCACTGCATGGCACAGAGCAAGGAATTTAGCTTGACAGTCTAGTTCTGCAGGATTGTTTTAAGCAAGTCACTCCCAGCGTAAAGTGAAGGAGTTAGACCAAAATGCATCCAATATCCCTTCAAGCTCTAAAATTCGACATAAGCTACCAAAAAAAAAAAAAAAAGGACATAAATCAGAACACTAAAAACCCTACTACTGTAAGGAGTGGACACCAAAGAAATCACCGTCCCCGACGGTTCGGATTCCGCCTGAGGACGGGGCTCAGTCACACTAGAGTGGTTTAGCAGCGCGTGTTCTCGGAAGGCTCCGGGCCGCTGTCAGGCAGCCAGAGGTAGGGGCTGTCCCGGGAGGGAGAGGAAACCAGGCTTTCGGGGAAAGAAAGTCGGCGTTGTAGTGGAAAGGCACCTGCTGCACCTCGCTAGCGACGAGGCCTAAAAAGAGCCTGGGTCTGCTCTGAGAAGCCCAGCGTGGGAACCCCAGCCCCGACCTGGAGGAGACACGTCGGTGGCCGGCGGCCGAGGAGAGGGAGAGCAGGGAGCGGGCGATGGAGGAGGGAGGTGGACGCAGGAAAAGGGCCGAGTGGGGCCCTGGCCCCTGCCACTCACCACAAGCGGGATGGAGCAGATGAGCACCACCAGGGAGGTGGCGATGAGTAAGATGACCATCTGGATCTCCGCGCCCGCGATGCGGCGGAAGCTCCGGCGGCGGCGAAAGTCGCTGAGGCGCGGCAGGGCGGGGGAGGAGGCGGCCGGGGAAGCCCGGCAGGCGGTCGGGGCCAAGGCGACGGCGGCGGCGGCCGCGTGGTGTTGCTGCTCGGTGCCCAGCGAGGTGCGGCGCATGAACTGGCGGTGCATGCGGAGCAGCGCGCCGCACACGAGCACGTTGCAGAGGACGGTGGCGAGGATGAGGAAGGAACTGAAGCCCGCATACATGTAGGAGAAGGCGGCGTGCGCCGTCACGTTGGTGGTCCAGTCGATGAAGCACCAGGTGGCCGGGTACTGCAGTCGCGAACTGCCCAGGCCCATGCTGGGCAGCGCGCAGAAGAGCACGTTGGACGCGTAGACCGCGAAGAGCGTGAGCCCGGCCAGCCGCTTGTCCACGTAGTGGCTGTAGAAGTAGGCGTGGTTGATGGCCAGGTAGCGCTCGATACTCATCGCGCAGATGATGCTGAGCCCCGACAGACCGAAGAAGAGCAGGATGAAGGTGCTGTACTCGCACAACGCGTGGCCCCCGGGCCACTGGCCCTTCAAGTAGGTGGCGATGGTCACCGGGCTCACCAGCAACGTGCCCAGCAGGTCGGTGACGGCCAGCCCGCATACCAGGGTGTAGAAAGTCGTCTCCTTCTGCTCTTTGCGCGACTTGCAGAGCACCACGATGGCCACCAGGTTGCCCACCACCCCGAAGATGAACATCACCGCCGGGATGGTCACTGGGCTGTTCAGTGGGTTGGAGGCCTGGGAGGATGATGCATTGGTCCCAGGGGCGGTCATGGTGGTGGCCGACGGTACACTGCCTTGGAGTGCGAGGCTGGGTCTGTGGAGAATAGGAGAGAGACGAAGAAGCGATGAGAAGAAATTACCACTTGCAAAAAGGTGTCAGGCCCGCTCCCAAGAAACAATATGCTGATGAGATCGGGGGAGCAACTCGATCCAACATTGTGGACTGTAGCCACTTACCAACTATAGCTACCGAAATCTCCAGGCTCCGGATAAGTCCTGCCGGCAGCACCACTCTACCGGCATTAATATTTATAAGTTGATACTGTCTTTCTCTCCTCTCCCCAACCCAACTCATTCCACTGCCAAGATGAACAAGACCTATCTCAAGGGAAAAGTGGCTTGCTCGTTTTCCCGACAGATTCTGAGTCAATAAAAGTCTCGCTGAAAACAAGTTATGGAAGATAATTTGAATAGAGCACTCTTCATTTCCTGGCTACGCTCAAGGGGCGCCCACACCGCTCTCTGCCCAGTGCCCCCAACCCTGTCTCACCTGTGGAAGCCGCGGAGGTTGCAGTTACGTAAGCCCCCAGGGTCAAGCCTCAGATGTCCTGGACAAGCCTTCAACCTGCCCTCAGCCGTGCCCTGCTCAATGTGGAGCTTGCCAGACCTCTGCCTTCTCAGAGCCTTCTCTCGGTGGCTGCCAGTTTCCCGGAACTGGGGTCAGTGGTCAGCTTTCAAAAACTTGGGAGAAACAGAAGGGCAGCGAAGTGGGTCAGTGAAGCCCGATCATGGATTGCTTTTTTCCTTCGTCTTTTCCTTCGTTTCTTCAAAGACGATCCAAGCTTTGCGGAGCCCGCGGGAATCGTCCGCGGGCGGACAGCTCTCAGGTGTGCGGCGGCACGCGCAGGTGGCACAGCCGGGCCGCCCTCTTCCCCAGCCCAGGGCAGCGCGGGCGGCTACCGGGGCTGGCGGCTACAGCTGAGGGCGCTTCTGACGCCCTGGGGGCAGCTTGAGGTCCCCTCGGCCCGAGGCGCTGACCTGGGGCGGTTCATCTTCCTCTCGGGCTGCGTGGTTTCCAGCTCCGCTCTTGCCGGTCCAGCCTCTGTACAAACTTTTCTGCAGCTTCAAGTTTCCCTGGCGGGGGCGGGGCCACACAGCGCGCGGCCTGGGCGCCCATTGGCCAGATGTGAAGTGGGCGGGGCGCCCGCTCTCTCCCGTGCGCGGCGAGGAAGCGCTGCGGGCCGGAGGGCGGGGCCCCGGGCGGCGCGGATCCCACCGCGCCTCCGCCGGCTGCTTGCCTGCGGCTTTCCAGCTCGCCGTGGGGCTGGGATGGTGGAGGCTTGGCCACCCCGCTCCAGGCAGGTGGTGCTGAGAAGCCGCGGTCCGCGGGGACCCTGGGGAAGTCCCGGTATTCTCCTGTGCACCCTCTTAGCTACTTTGAACTCGGCATCCAGGGCGGACAGCTCTGAAACCGGCATCTTTTTTTCCTCGCTGCCTCCCTCTCCAAGTGGGCTATTTCTCGCACCTTCTTCAGCCGAGTTGCAACATCTGGGTGCTGGGAAGGGAAGTCAGCGGCTTAGGACTCTACCTGGGAGCTGTAGAGGTGTGTGTGTGTGTGTGTGTGTGTGTGTGTGTGTGTGTGTGTGTGTGCGCGCGCGCGCGCTCGCGGCCGGGGGAGGAGAAATAGGGTGCGTGCGCGAGTGGTCCCGGATCAGAAGTAAGGGTGCGCCTGACTGTCGTGGTGGCTGGATGGGCGAGTGGGCACCAGGGTTGGGCAGGAAACGACGAGGAGTCCATCCTCTCACCACGAAAGGAGTTCATTGGCAGTGCAGAGGCAGAAAAAAGCGGGAGGGGTGGCGAAGGGAGCCGGGACAGCAACGTCTCCCGTCGCTAGTGGCAGAGACCTGCGGCTGCGGAGAGCCTGCGCGCGGCCCTCCAGGGGACGGACGGTGACTGCGGAGCTGCCTGTGGCACCGCGGGGACCTTTGTCCTCCTCCAGGGAACTTCTGCGGCTCGTGAGAACGGTTAGACTGAGTTTCGTGTTTGGGCTCGGTTAACAGTCGGATTTAGACACCTTCACCATGAATCCTCGGAAAGGCTGATGGAGAGCGACTGGGATTGTTTTCAAGTAAAGGAATTGTCCAGTCACTACCTCACTGGTCAACTCTTGGAAAACCTTATTTGCTCTACCTTTTAATCTTTTGAATTACAATTTAGCTTCTTCTCGTTATTCCCTTCTATTTTACTTGCTACAGTCAGAACTGTTCTATTAATATTTTACTTGCTAAAATCAGAATTGAAAACTAAAAAAAAAAAAAAAAGATTGTAAAGCTTTATGGCATAATTATAACCGCTTCACCATTTTTTTTAAACCGTAAAGTGAGATTGTGTGAGCCTTCATAATTTCAGTTCCTAGGAAAGTCTCTTTCCAGAGGTCAGATACATGCATTTTAACGTAATGCATCTCCTCACAGGATAGATAAATAACTTGATCCTTTTATATGCTAAAGCGGGAACTTTCGTGAATGTACAAACTTAAGAATTTATCTGGTGCTCCAGTTATTCTCAAGTGACACAGTAACAAATGAGTAATAGGAGAGACAAAGCATTCCAGTTTTCAGCGAATTACAGGACATAATAGTATAAGGCACCATGTGGGTATACTGATACAACATCAATGTGTAGTTTGTATTGTTTCCACATGAATGTCAGGCGTTCAGAAAGAAACACACATTTGGTAGCCCATGTAAAAAGAACTGATGGAGATCCGTCAGCTTCTCAGAGCCCTAATCCCCTATTACCACTCCTATTGTCTGTGCTTCCTGTTGAGTAGTAAGCTCTAGGGTTGTGTCAGCATTGAGAAAGGAAACTGCACGTTCTACCCCCAATCTTTTGTGACCACATTGCATCACTGTCAGCCTGTCAGGTGGTTATTAGTAACAGTTTGAAGGCGAGGTGGGAAGTTCCACTTATAATCACCCTCTGCTAATAACATTTTTTTCCCCCAATTCTCTTTGCATTTGAAGTTCCTAAAATGGAGAACAATTTGAATTGGTCCTTGTTAATTTTTCATGATGAAGAGTATTTTAAATATAAAAGTTGAGGCACCCTGTTGAGAGAATTAGGATTAGAGATTTTAACACATGGCTGATAAACTGGACTTGTTACCAATAGAGCTGTTTTTCTTACTAGTCATTTACATTTACTTTCCAGAGTAGCTTTATGAAAATGAAAATAAATAAGAATCCAGAACATAAGACTGAAAAACTGTTATGAGGTTTAGCTCTACCCTCTTTTGGTACATGATTCTTAAAACTTAAGTTTAGCCTTCAAAAGTAGAAGTTGAAAATTTGGCCAACAAATATCTTATTTTCTTTATTTGAAAAACTGGGACACTGTTGTTCAGTGTCCCTCACACTCTTCTGGGAATGTACGTTGCAAAATAAAACGAAGAATCACCACTATTAGGTGGACAATTCTTGCCATTGTTTGTGTATTTTATGAAAAGATTTTATTCTAAGCATTGATTTGTATCTTCTCTTGCCATTTCTGCCTCAATCCCTACTCTACACTCTCTGTTTCAGTTCTGTCATCAAATCCTCCCTGAAGGTTTGCACTAGCCCAAGAATGGCCTGACTGATCCTTTTGATTGCTCTCTGCTAGCTAAATTACTGGACTGTAGGTCAACATCATAAGGTGGGAACTCTTAAAAGCAGAGTCCACTTGGAGGCTACCAACTACATTCCCTTTGACTAAGTTGAATCTTCCTTGGGTCAAAAGAATGGGAAACAAAGGGGCTAGATCCTGGGAGGAAGGCAGCAGGATGAATCAGATCTGGCCTGGACCCCATACTGAGGCAAGGCTGGCCAGATCTTAGAGCATTCCTAAAGAGGTAACATTCACATAGCAAAGCCCACACAAAACCTGCTGTCTGTCATTCAGGACTGGCCGTATAGATTCTCAAAAAGGTGAAAAAGGTGTCTGTCTAGTGCAGATAACCCAGTGCCCATGGCCACATCTGCCTTCCATGTGCTCACCCAACTGGTTTAGTAAATTACAATCATGACATTAACCTGATGTTGGACATGAAAAGAGGTCCATGATTGTGGCTTTGGTCCCTCCCTTTTTAGCGGTGCATTTTAAATGTGCACCTAATTATTTTCATTTTCCAAGAATAAATTTTGTGCTGATTCTGGTGCTTAGGGCTGTTATACATGGTAGTACTGTGATTGACTCCTCAGCGTCTTCATGTGGGCCTGAATTACCACGGTGGAGGCTGGTCGCTACCAAGTGATTGCTTCAGGCTTCCTTCTTCTCTGACAGTTTTACTCATCAAAATGACACCTTTCTACCTTTTTATTCTTCCCCTCTTCTTTCTCCATACAGATATTTCCACTGCACTCCCATTGTAAACTGGGCTAATGGACAAAGAAAGAAGATTATTTAATTAATATTGATCATTTTTTTTCCATTTATTTTTATTAGTTGGAGATCATTTTTAAAAAGAAACTTTTTATTTTGTATTGGAGTATAGCCAATTAACAAAAAATATTGTGATTGTTTCAGGTGAACAATGAAGGGACTCAGCCATACATATATAGGTGTCCATTCTTCCCCCAAAACTCCCCTCCCATCTAGGCTGCCATATAACGTTGAGCAGAGTTCCATGTGCTATTCAGAAGGTCCTTGTTGGTTATCCATTTTAAATACAGCAGTGTGTACATGTCAGTCCAAAACTCCCTAACTGTCTACCCCCTCCCCCCACAGAAGTGTTGCTCATTTTGGAAGGTACAGGTGGAGAGATAAAGTCTTATAAGTCCAGGTGTCTCTTCTACAGGAAGATGGACATGCTGATTATATTTTAGTTTCTTCTCACATCCCCTGAATTGCTGTATATTTTAGCACTTCAGAAAATACACAGAGACTCCCTGGTTTAGTCATCAACACCCTTTTTTTTCTATAGCTTGTTGACTGCTTTCCACGGAACTTTCACAATTGCATTCACAAAGTGAAAGAAGAGAGTGAAAAAGTTGGCTTAAAGCTCAACATTCAGAAAACTAAGATCATAGCATCTGGTCCCATCACTTCATGGCAAATAGATGGAGAAACAGTGGAAACAGTGGCTAACTTAATTTTTGGGGGCTCCAAAATCACTGCAAATGGTGACTGCAGCCATGAAATAAGACATTTACTCCTTGGAAGAAAAGTTATGACCAACCTGGACAGCATATTAAAAAGCAGAGACATTACCTTGCCAACAAAGGTCCATCTAGTCAAGGCTATGATTTTTCCAGTGGTCATGTATGGATATGAGAGTTGGACGGTGAAGAGGGCTGAGTGCCGAAGAATTGATGCTTTTGAACTGTGGTGTTGGAGAAGACTCTTGAGAGTCCCTTGGACTGCAAGGAAATCCAACATAAAGGAAATCAGTCCTGGATGTTCATTGGAAGGACTGATGCTGAAACTGAAACTCCAGTACTTTGGCCACCTGATGCAAAGAGCTGACTCATTTGAAAAGACCCTGATGCTGGGAAAGATTGAAGGCAGGAGGAGAAGGGGACGACAGAGGATGAGATGGTTGGATGGCATCACTGACTCAGTGGACATGAGTTTGAGTAAATTCCGGGAGTTGGTGATGGAGAGGGAGGCCTGGCGTGCTGCAGTCCATACATGACTAAGTGATTGAACTGAACTGAACTGAACTGTGCTCTTCTTAATAACCCCCTGAAGATGTTAGGTAGGTGTGATGGAGACCCATGCTTTTCCAAATCCTGTTTCCATTTTTTCTTGAACACATAGCTGGATGGCATTTCCCAGACTTCTTGTGGCTAGCTGAGGCTCATGTGGCTGTATTCTGGCCAGTGGAAATAGGAGGAAGTGATGTGTATCACTTTCAGGCCTGGTCCCTAAAGGACCCTGATCCTCTGTGCTCTCTATCTTCCCTTTTCTGCCAACAGGATACAAGGCCCCGGTATATGGCAGAGCCATTAGATAGAAGGGAACTGGGTCCTTGTATACCTGCATTGAGTGAGGACCTCATTCTAATCCCAGTGACCTTCACTGGACAAGGAAATGAAGAGAAAGAATCCCCTGAGATTTGAGGGGCTGCTTGTTTGGGCAGTTACCCTGTGCTGACAAAACAGTATGATTGGAGTCGTCGGTCTTTAATAATGAGACGGGGGGCACAAAAAAGCTATGTGACTTGCTCAAAGGCACAAAAATTAGTCAGGCCAGCTGAAATTTATCCAGTGCTTAGCTTCTGTGAGACAGTGTGCTGACTGATAGACACTGTCTATCAAGAAACCTATGAAGAAGGTACTACATAGTAGTAGGCCCAGTTTATAGATGAGCTAACTGATATTTGCTTGAGGAATGTGGAGGAAGACATTGCCATTTCTTAAAAGACTACACAGCATTTGGGGGTGGCAATGTGAAGGGTCCCACTGGCTGCTGGTTGAGGCTTCCTGACCATCTTGATTAGGTGTGACCTTGGCTGAGTTTGCTCTGCCTGTCTTCCTGTTGATTCTTTGTGTGTTGATTGTCTTTCCAATAAATTATTTTCCTACTTAAATTTATCATGCTCAGTTGCTATTGCTTGCAAATAATCACCCCACCTAGCACAGAAAGGTTGAGTAAATTACAGATCACAGTATTGATAAATGGCAGAACAAAGATTTAAATATAGATCTGTCCAGTCCCGAAACCTCTATCTCTAACCTCTGTATTTCTTAGCCCAGGAACTACAGCCACATGAATCTTAGTCTTCTTTTTTTCTTCCTCAGTATCATTGGCTTTGGGATAAAGAAAGTCTGGATTCAAGGTCATAGTAAGTAAGTTAAGTTGCCTCAACCTTACTGAAAAGGAGTTTTTACTAAGTTGATTCTTTTGAAGTTTAAGTAATATAGTAATCCACATGAAGGAAATATCTGACACATATCAAAAAGTTATTATTTCTACATAATGTTCCCCAAATTTATGCATAAAGCGTTTATCCTCCCTGATGTTTTAGAGGGCATCATAATAAGTTGAGTATATATTACTTTGATAGAACTTAATTTTGCCTGGGCCTTGCCAAAAATATCCAAAGACTGGTTGTATATATAATCACAGAAAGAGAATTAAAGTATCTATCAGATAATTTTGGGCTTTCCTCGTGGCTCAGTGGTAAAGAATCCACCTGTCAATGGAGGAGATGCGAGTTCAATCCCTGGGTCAGGAAACTCCCTTGGAGGAGGAAATGGCAACCCACTCCAGTATTATTGCCTGGGAAATCCCATGGACAGAGGAGCCTGGTGGGGCTATAGTCCATGGGGCCACAAAAAAGTTGGACATGACTTAGCTACTAAACAATAATAGATAAGATGGTTTAGTCAATCCCCTTTCCTTCCCTTCATGAGAATGAAAGAGTTACTTTCAAAGAGATGATTCCTATTGCCTACTTATGTTAACTTTATTAGATAATTTCTTAAGGGTACACCTAATATTGACTGTAATCACAGTCTAGCTATTGAGCTGATATTAGTAAATTTTACCCAGACACAGAATTTACCTGGTTTTCCTAGAAAATAAGTTTCCTTTTTTTTTTTTTTTAAATTTTGAGATATTTATAAGAACCAAAGCACTTTTATTTGGAAGAAATGAATGCAGCTCTCCCTGGAAGCAGGGAGCCAATGTGGGGAACTTGCAGAGGGGAGGAAGACTGGGAGGGGGACATTTTCAATCAAAAATGGATAGAAAAAAAAACAGCATCTTTGTGAGCCAAGATATGATGGGGAAAGAAGCTGTTCTTGGACAGGGCTCAGCCTGCCAGGTACTGGCTACAGCTATGAGGTCCCTTGACTTGCATCAGCTTATCCAGGGCACCACTAGAACCCTGTCCTGCAAAAACTGCCAGTCTGCTAGCACAATGCATGGCAAATCCAGGGTACCATGAGTCTTCAGAACTTACCCTCTTGACCTTTGTCATCCATACAAATTCCACTTTGCATCTAGTCTCACAGTAGTCTCTTCACTTCCGGTATTTATATGCATACACATCCAACCTAAAGAGACATACACACAAGTCACTGCCCCCAACCTACCAATAAACACATCCCTGCGTGCATCCTCAGGCACAGATCTCTCAGTTGACCCAGGACATGGACAAACATGATGCCTTCATTCTTCTGTCAGTGTACTCATTCTTCTGGTTGTACTCACTGCACTTAAATTGCCCAGTCACAGACATTTCTTCCTCCTTTCAACCTGCCATTCATTCATCCGTTCAACAAGTACTTGTGTAAAGGACTAGGATAACCTCTGAGTGCATCCTTTGAACAAAATAAACAGTTCCTACCCTTATGTAACTTTGTGTAATGGGAAAAAGCTTACTGTCCAGAAAGGGAAACATTCAAATAAGCACATACACTTAGATATTTACAACCTGTCATCAATGCTTCATTTAGATTTGAGAGCAGGAATGGCCATTCTGAAGAGGTGGTGTCTTCTAACCAGAGTATAGTTTGTTTCCCTTCAAGATGGCTGTTATTTAACAACAGGTTATCTTCCACTCCCAGTACAGGAAGCTTTAAGCATATTCTGGCTCAGAGTTTCTCAAGCACTCTGATGCTTCAGAAAAGATAACTGCACATTCTATAGGCCAATGGCTAGAGCAGAGAAGGTTTCTGAGAATTCAGAGAATGGATCTTGAGGAAACTGTTGTTGTTCAGTTGCTAAATCATGTCTGATTCTTTGCGACCCCATGCACTACAACACACCAGGCTTCACTGTCCTTCACTAAGTTCCAGAGTTTGCTCAAACTCATGTCCATTGTGCTGATTATGCCATCCAACCAGCTCATCCTCTGTCACCCCTTTCTCCTCCTGCCCTGAATCTTTCACAGCATCAGCGTCTTTTCCAATGAGTTGGCTCTTTGCATCAGGTGGCCAAAGTATTGGAGCTCTAGCATCAGTCCTTCCAGTGAATATTCAGGCTAAATTTACTTTAGGACTGAGGAAACTAGGAGCTGAATAAACCCGACTGAGATGCATTGAAGTAAAGGAAATCATTGAAATTTGAAAAGAGGAACCCATGACCTGAGAAAATCTGCCATTTTACTGTGAGCTCCTGCAACGGAAGTTCAAAGCTCTTCATTGTGGAGGGTGAGGTAGAGAAGTGAAGCAGGATTGCTTTCTGAGGATAATACCAACTTCTCCGACTATTAAAATCCAAGTCAAAATTAGTATCAGGCCTGGCCAGCTCCTTGCATTTCATGTTAAAAAGTATTGGTCACAAAGGAAACTAAAAGTATAACCAAAACTTTGCTGTAGTTTAAGAGGGTCTAAGGGTATAAAAGTCAAAGTCAATGGATGAGGCTGTTAGTTCTATAGGAAAACTTAAAAAAAAAAGCTGTAGTACTTAATTTAACAAGAAATGAGATTTGATTGTATAAATAGCAGTTTTAAAAATATGACTTTCTGATGCTAAATTGTTTTGTATTTTCCTATAAAATGATAGATTATATTTTAAAAGAGCTATATAATTTAAGGTGTTTGTGCAGGAAGATTCATTCATTTAATCTAACAGAAGAAAAGCAAGTACATCTTTTTAAATTGAAATGTAGTTGACATACAATTTCATGTTAGTATCAGGTGTACAACAACGATTTGACACTTGCATACATTATAAAATGACAACAGATCTAGTAACCATCTGTCTCCATCAGAGTTATTACAATATTACTGACCATATTTCTTTTACTGTATATCATATCCTGTGGCTTATTTTCTTTTTTTTTTTTAGCATGTCTTAATTTATTTATTTTTAATTGGAACTTTACAATGTTGTACAGTTTCTGCCATACATCAACATGAACTGGTATATGTATATTCCCTCCCTCTTGAACCTCCTTCCCACCTCCCACCCCATCCCAGCCCTCTAGGTTGTCAGAGAGCACTGGATTGAGCTGTCTGCATCATAGAGCAAATTCCCACTGGCTGTGTGGTAATATATATGCTTCAGTGCTACTCTCTCAATTCATCCCAATCTCTCCTTCCCCCTGCTCTGACCACAAGTCTGTTCTCTATGTCTGTGTCTCTATTCCTGCTCTGCAAATGGGTTCATCAGTATCAGTACCATTTTTCTAAATTCTGTATATATGCATTAATATATGATATTTGTTTTTCTCTTTCTGACTTACTTCACTCTGTATAACAGGCTCTAGGTTCATCCAACTCATTAGAACTGACTCAAATGCATTCTTTTTTGTGGCAGAGTAATAATCCATTGTATATATGTACCACAGCTCCTTGATCCATTCATCTGGTGATGGATGTCCAGCTTGCTTCCATGTCGTGGCTATTTTAAATAGTACTGCAATGAATATTGGGGTACATATGTCTTTTTCAATTATGGTTACGTTAGGGTATGTGCCTAGTAGTGGGATTGCTGGGTAATATGGTAGTTTTCTTCCTAGTCTTTTAGGAATCTCCATATTGTTCTCCATAGTGGCTGTTACTAATTTACATTTCCACCAACAGTGCAAGAGGGTTCCCATTTCTCCACATCCTCTCCAGCATTTATTGTTTGTAGATTTTTGATGATGGCCATTCTGAATGGTGTAAGGCGATACCTCATTGTAGTTTTGATTTACATTTCTCTGATAATAAGCCATGTTGAATATTTTTTCATATGTTTATTAGCCACCTGTATGGAGGTGCAGAAATGTCTGTTTAGGTCTTCTGCCCACTTTTTGATTGGATTGTTTGTTTTTTTGGTATTGAGCTGCATGAGCTGCTTGTGTATTTTGAAGATGAATCCTTTATCAGTTGCTTCATTTGCTATTATTTTCTTCCATTTTGAGGGTTGTCTTTTCATCTTGTTTATGGCTTTCTTTGCTGTGCGAAAGCTTTTAAGTTTAATTAGATCCATTTCTTTCTTTTTTTTCTTTCTTATTTTCCTTACTCTAGGAGGTGGGTCATAAAGGATCTTGCTGTCATTTTTGTCAGAGTGTTCTTCTATGTGTACTTCCAAGTGTTTTATAGTTTCTGGCCTTATATTTAGGTCTTTAATCCATTTTGAATATATCTTTTTGTATGGTGTTAAGAAGTGTTGTAATTTCATT